CCCCAAAACCCCAAAACCCCAAAACCCCATTTGGAGCAAAAAATATAGATTTAAGTTAATTATTAAGTAAAATTCAAATAATAAATATATTAGTCATCGGATAGGTCAACATTTCATAGTTACAAGTTTTAAAGTTTCTAAGCCATTAAAGCCAGCTCACTTAAAACAAAAATATTATGATCAGGTTAAGTTTGGTTATTTGTATTAGAAGTAGAAGTTTAATTAGTAGATTAAGTAGATTTAATTGGAGAATGAGTGGGAACTTCAGCTCTGATTATAAGGACGTGCTCTTATTCAAGATTTTCTACGTTTACTGCTCTAAATCTACTGTCACCTTCGGCCATCTTATTCTCTTCCTAGTAGTAAGAATTCTAACTACTAGTGCTGAGCTAATACTCATTAGTAGTATTCTAATGAAAAAGGTTATTATAAAAGTTTATACCTTGAATAGGGAAAAGCAAAATGTTCGAGATTTAGTTTCTAAATCTCTTACATAAAATCTTAAAGATCTCTCGCTGAATTTCCATTCATACTATGAAAAGATATTAGAACACTAGAATTAATGAACTATTTACCTACCTTATCTTTTATTGAATTCAAAAAAATCTTTACTTTTTCCATGCATAAATTCAAGTCTCCCTTAAGTTTGATATGCTTTGAGTCTGGTAAAGGAGAATGTTTTTAGAATAATAAACTCGATGACTTGTTCATGATCTTTATTTTTTCTTATTCTTCAGGAAAGAAAAACTACCTATCTTCAGCGTCTAATGCACACGAAAATGAAGATGAGGAGGATTAAGTTGACATGCTCTCTTGAGATTTTATTATCTTTGGGCAAAGACTTAAAGTTTCAAACTCTTATTTGTTTATTCCTGATTTATGCCTAAGTAGCACTTTTTGGAGTCTTTGAGTCTGATTCTGAGTCAAATCATATCTTTATTTAAATGCAGGCTTGAAATTTGTAATCCTATAAGAGAAGTATAAAATTTGAAGTGTTAATTACCATGGGTGGTTAAGTATCTCCTTCATCTGTATTCTTTTGATGGGGTTTATCTGTAGCATTCTGTTGATAAGGTCAGAAGCATCATCAGATAAGTAAGGGGGCATATGGAAACTTCCTTATCATATCTATTGAAACAAAATAGGCATTTGATCACTATCGAAAGGTAAGGCACCTGTGAGACTTGCATACAATATTACTCCACTGCTCCAAATGTCAGCTGCCATCCCATCATAAGAGACTCCATTAATGACCTCTGGAGCAGCATAGTTTGGAGAACCGCATGACGTCATTAAATGAAATCCATCTTTCATCAAGCTTGCAAGTCCGAAATCAGCCAGTTTCAGCACTCCATTCTGATCTATCAAAATATTTTCTGGTTTTAAGTCTCGATGAGCTACTCCATTCTCATGTGAATATTTCAATGCTGATATTAGCTGGCAAAAATAGTTTTTGGCTTCAGTTTCTGATAACTATAATTGTTACTTTAGTTGTAAGAATACCTTTCCTTGCTTTTATATAAGTTCAAAATATTCACCTGATTAGCAGTATTCCATTACAATGCATACATTTTCCTCTGTTTCAATGACGTCGATAAGTTGTATGATGTTTGTGTGGTTTAGGCGTCTCATGGTTTCAATTTCAATCTTCAATTTCTTATTAAGTTTACCCCCTTACTCTCTCAAGGTGCTTTTATTTATTAGTTTTATTGCAACTTTTTTCTTTTTTTAGTCATCGATTCCAACTATTCCAAAACGTTATTCACAATTTTCAAGTTACTTACGTTTTACTTTACCAAAAGAACCAGATCCAAGTGTTTTTGTAAGTCTGTAAGGCCCTACCGTCTAGATATTAGAAGTCTTTCTCAGTAGAGGTTGATTGTTACAAGTGTCATTGTTGTCTATCATCATTAAAATTAAAAAATAGATATATATGCATTTTCAATTATTAAATAATTCATAGGTTACTAACCTTATCCAACCAAAATCTAGTATGATATCAAAAGTTAAAGACTTTACTACTTCATAAAATTAATATAGTGCTTTTAATAAATTATAAGTCATCCTCAGTTGTTAATTTTTATTTCTGAATTTTAATCTTTCCAGTTTAAAAACTTCAAATTAGCCTCAAGGGGTTTTGGGGTTTTGGGGTTTTGGGG